ACAAAAGAAAGAACGATGAACAACTAATCTAAAACCTAAAAACACAAAACACGACTCTATATTTCATGAGAAGAGATGAATGAGATCGATGTATGTATATATAGAGTTAGGATTACGTCAATTTAGGATTTCACATTTATGGGCTATGATAAAACATGCTCAAACCCAATATAAATAATTTAATCAAACGAATTAGAGTTTTTAGGTTCAAAATTATTCAATGACAAGGAGTGTAATTTTGAGATTCATTAATGGTATTTTCGGCAGACTAANTCTTAAACTCGCTGTAGAGACGCCACGTAGGAAAAGTGACTTNTTAAATATAAGAATAGATNNTGNNANTCATTAATTGTATTTTCAGCAGACCAAGTCTTAAACTCGCTGTAGAGACGCCACGTAGGAAAAGTGACTTTTTAAATATAAGAATAGATAATGCTAATTACAATTTGCAATGACCAATAAAATTTTAAATTCATATATTTGCTTATGTTTTAAATTTCATCGTGTTATTTTTTTTTTCGTTGTTTAATTGTTGTAATTTATACATTTATCTTAGGTTGAAGATATGTTGCATCATAACCATTCAGTAACACGTGTTTTCTAAGTCTTACGGACTTATACCCCATCAACTCGATTATAGTCACTAGGATTTTCACACAGATTTTTTACAGAATTTACCATAGTGACATGATTTTGATCCGGCTGCATTGTAACTTGAATGCATAATTGAATGGTAGCATACATCCACACCAGCTCAGGCATACCCAAATATTTGAAAACAAAAGCAGTGTACTTGAACGTTGCATCCTTACTACTAGAAAATAGAGGGCCATGTCGGATTCAGATGAAAAAATTATCAAAACACCAATGATACATATAAAGGTTTCTTTTCCTTACTTCTTCCAAACCACCAACATAGGTCATGAATCATGTCATGTACCAACAATTTTTGATGATTACATTTATAGTAAATCAAAACCTCCCTGCAAAAAAAGAGAATTTGTGGTCAACTTGATATTAGTGATAAAAACGTCTTAAGTACTCCTAATATTTTGAAAAGTTTCTCTACATAAAATACCAAGTACGTGCACACGCCACATGAACTACATGATTTGTCAAAAATCACCTCCGACAAGCAAATGATTACAGAAATGATGGACTGGGTGGAGAACCACATACTTGAACACAAAGAACCAACGAATTTCGTCACTATAACAAACGAATTCGATTTTCTTTACACAGTGAGAGACTTGAAAGATAGCTAGTTTTATGTTGTGCTAGCTCATGACAGAAAGGTAAACTGAAGACTATATCAGATGAAGCAAAAAACATGGAAAGGATAAAGCTGTCATTTGAGGTCAATTTATTTGAAGACGTTCAAAATAGCATTATGAGATTTCCATTTCATGTCTGTCTCTAATTATCTGCTACAATTCCAAAAATTTATGTAAAATGCTA